ATCAATAATCAATGATGGAGGAGATTGATACGGTATCATGGAAATATATATATCGATATTTTCACACCCCTAATAATTTTGGCTACTTTTAGCGAATTAGCATCTTTGCCATTAAGTTAGATATTTCTGACCTAGTTTTCCAACTTTTGGATTTTATTCGATGTCTGTGGTGGAACTTTCCTCACGACATGTTTTCAGTCTGGATTAAAATGTCACTAACAGCAAAAAATATTTTTTTTGTCCTGGTGACAAAAAAATCAGTTCTAGTTCTTTTGGTCCTCACCTGAGTCCAGGAGGTTTAATTTAGTTTATTTCAGTGACTAACTTTGGTTCATGGTTTCCGTCTGTACCTCTTTGGGTGATAGTATGGACACGTAGTCTTCGTATATGATCCTGGCCTTCTCGTCCACCAGGGAAGGTTCCGTCTCTTTCTTCAGCTCCTCACAGGCCATCCAGAAGAGCAGGTTGTCTTCGCTGTATTCTGACCTCAGGAACTCCCTGAAGATCTCCCGTCCCTCCAACGACCGCAGCATCATCTCGAAGCTCCGCGCCCACGACAGAATCTCATCTAGACTGGGATGTCTGCAGAAATCACACGGACAAGAATGAAAAAAAAACCAAACACACGATCCTAAATCACACGGACAAGAATGAAAAAAAACAAACAAACACACGATCCCAGTGAAACCACAGACACACACAGACACACACAGACACTTACAGCTCGTCCACAGCCTCAATACTGTCCATTTTAGTGCAGGTCTGTCGTTCACTCCTCTCCATCCTGTCTTCATTCCTGCGTCAACAGAGAAACAGGAAAATGTTGTATGTGTATATATACACATTCACAGTCGTACTAACATTAATTTAGTTCATTTCTCCAATGTTACAGCCATGATAGCCATCGTTATGGCTAACCTTTAGCTACTCTCAGGTTGACTCCAGTCATGTTTTGGTTAGCGTTAGCTAGCCTCAAGACGCTCACGGACGTCTGGGTAATTTTCCCCGTGTTAACGGCGGTGAACGTTTGTGTGAAACAACGAGGCTTCAGTCAAAGTCTTTGTGTAAACTCTCACACACCGGCAGCCCAGTAACACACACACACACACACACACACACAGAGACACACACACACACGTCTATTTTTGGTCCCAGCAGGGACAATCCTTGCTTCCTCTCGCTGTCTCTTGTCAAAGTCTCCATTGTGCAGCAGTAA